TTTCTGTCGAAAACTAGACGATCAAGTTTTCTTTTAAACACACAAACTGTGTCAGCCGTCACCATCTCGCTTGGAAGCGAGTTCCACGGCCTGACAACCCGCTGGCTGAAAGAAAATTTTCGTCGGTCTAAACGTGTTCGCTCATTCCCGACTTTGTATGCATGGCCGCGTAGTTGGTTTGTACGGGCGAACTCAAAGAAGTCCTCTGCCCTTAATGAGCAACCCTGGCCGCGAACAATCCGGAACGTCCAGAGTAGACTGCAGTTTATTTGTCTATAAGAGAGAGGGAATAGGCCAAGCAAATTTAGCCTCTCCTGATAAGACAAATGCTTTAGACCGTCGACCATCTTTGTCGCTCTGCGTTGCACCTGTTCGAGTAAGTTGATATCCTTCCTCATCCATGGTGAAGCTGCTGGCATTCCATACTCTAGATGAGGTCTTACAAAGACACCAAAGAGTCTTTCGAAGAGTTCAGGAGGAAATATTTTAAATGCACGTCTGATCCAGTGTAGAGTACTAGTTGCCTTCTGGACCATCTTTCTGCAGTGTTCTGATGGCGATAGATTTGTGGTCGTCCATACACCCAGATCTCTGTGTCTTTCCACAGTTTCTAACCTCGTCCCGTCAATATAGTACTGGTGTTTGGGAGAGGCATTGCGGCCGGTGTTCAGGTGCAAAACCACGCATTTGGACACGTTAAACTTCAAAAGCCATATGTTCGACCAAGCACACAGTTTTTCGCTGTTCGACTGCAACTTCTCTGCGTCATCATCACACTTGACTTCACTCCATATTTTTATGTCATCCGCGAACATGAGAGCCTCGCAATTCACTTCGCTGATACAGTCATTAACATAAATCAGGAAGATAACCAGGCCGCAGTTGTCGCAGACGGTGGCGAAGAGGTCCATGCTCCTTTGCCTGTCCCCCTCGGGGGTAGTGTTGAGAGCGCAGTCGTCGGCGAAGAGCAGTTCATGGACGGAAGTTGTGAATGCACGCGACTGGAAGTGCATCCGTCGCTGGTTGAGTAGTTGGCCGTCCGTCTTGATGGCCACGTGGATCCCGGGGCGTTCGTCACGGTAGACGTTTACTAGAATATCAGAGAACATGAGACCGGAGCTCTAAAACCAACCCGAACACTCGTGTTTAGTTTTAATATCAGGCGTGATGTACGAACGCTGCTTTCGAGAGCTTATAGATAACTTAAACTGGGCTTGAACCAAATACTCAAGTGGTAGAACCTTG